AGTTATTGTACTTTTCATTTCTAGAATTTCTATATGATTCTTTTTTCTGTTTTCTATCTCATTGATATTCTCTATTTGGTGAGACATTGTTCTTATACTTTCCTTTAGTTTTTTTAGAAATAATTTCCTTCAGTTCTTTTCAATATGTTTACAATAGTTGAGTTCAAGTATTTGTCTAGTAAGTAGAATGTCTGGGCTTCCTTTAAGAATAGTCTCTGCAGCCGGCCCCGTGGCTTAGTGGTTAAGTGCGCGCGCTCTGCTACTGGCGGCCCGGGTTCGGATCCCGGGCGCGCACCAACGCACCGCTTCTCCGGCCATGCTGAGGCCGCATCCCACATAAGCAACTAGAAGGATGTGCAGCTATGACATACAACTATCTACTGGGGCTTTGGGGGACAAAAAAAAAGGAGGAGGATTGGCAATAGATGTTAGCTCAGAGCCGGTCTTCCTCAGCAGAAAGAGGAGGATTAGCATGGATGTTAGCTCAGGGCTGATCTTCCTTACAAAAAATAAATAAATAAATAAAAGAATAGTTTCTGTTGAGTGATTTTTTTTTTTTCCTTGGGTGTGGGCCATATTTTCTTGGTTCTTTACGTGTCTCATAATTTTTTGTTGAAACTGATCATTTTAAATAATATATTGTGGAACTTTGGAAATCACATTCTTCCCCCCTCTTGAGGTTTGTTGTTGTTGGCGTTTGTTGCTCATTGCTTGTTTAGAGACTTTCCTGAATTAATTCTGTAAAGTCTGTATTTTTTTGTTGTGTGTGACTACTGAAGTCTCTGCTTGGTTAGCTTAGTGTTCAGCTAATGACTGGACAGAGATTTCCTTGAATGCCTTACCAGTGAATCTCCAAGCTTTTGCCGAAGGGCTCTCTGTGTGTGTTGGGGCATGCTTTCAGTGTTCTGGTAGGCAGTTTATACATCTCTGCCTTCCCCTTTACTGCCTGCTTGTGCAGAACCTCAAGGTCAGCCAGAGGTGAGACATCAGTGCCTGCTTGGGTCTTTCCTGGGCATGAGCACAGCCCAGGATGCGTGTATGCGTAGCCTTCTAGATTCCCAGGCATATGTCAGAGCTTAATTCCATTAATTAATGGCCATTAATTGGCCATTAATTTCCAGTTTTGAAAAAGTTGATTTTGCCGGATTTTGCCAATGTTTTCTTTGCTTCTTTGGAGGAGCAGGTTTTCAGAGGTTCCTGTGACTGTCTCATTCTTCAGTTTTTTCTCGTAAGCTTTTTGGTCAGTTTCTTTGCCCCAGAGGTTATCACCATCTCGGGCAGCTGCCATGTTAAATTGTTGTTGCTGATTCTTTTTGATCATGGCCTCAGGGAAAAGAGTTGCGCTGAGCATGGTCTGAATTGGGTCAAGTAATGACAGACCCTGTGAGTGGGGGTTCTGGGATATGCCAGGCGTGTCACATAATGACAGTTTTCTGGGAATGGGGATTTTTATGGAGCTCCAGACTTGTTCAGCTCTTTCTAGTGGCTTTGAGGTTGATGGTTTTCTAACTACTGTGATTGTGAGGCTGTTAGTTTTCACCTGGTGAGTTAGAGATGTAAATAGGGCACTGCAAAACAATGGAAAACTTGCTGTTTTTACCAGGATTCAGCCATTTTTCTTGAAGAATGCTGCTTGGTTTGTTGCAAGCCATTAATTTCCAGTTTTGAAAAAGTTGATTTTGCCGGATTTTGCCAATGTTTTCTTTGCTTCTTTGGAGGAGCAGGTTTTCAGAGGTCCTTATTCTGCTGTTTTGAAGGGCTTCCCCTCTGTTTGCTTTTATGATTGCAGTATTTTCTCTTATCTCTTTGGAAATATTTTGTTGTTAGTACTGTCAGGTCGATTCCGACTCCTAGGAACCCTGTGTACAGCAGAGCAGAACCCTGCCTGGTCTTTTTGCAGTTCTGCTGCTATTCATAGGATTTTCATGGCCAGTTTTCCACAAGTGAGTGGCCAGGTCCTTTTTCCTAGTGTTTCTAGGCTGGGAGCTCTGCTGAAACTTGTCCACCATGGGTGACCCTGCTGGTATTTGAAATACCGGTGGCATAACTTTCAGCATCATTGCAACACGCAGCCGCCACAGTGTGACAACGAGCACATGGGTGATGTCGTTCCCTGACTGGGAAACAAACCCGGGGCTGTGGCGGTGAGAGGATGGGATCTTAATCACAAGACCACCAGGGCTGGCTTTGGAAGTATTAATGATATATTTTTAAAACTTTTCTCTTCATAGTTTCTTCTTTCCTCTAAATTGGGATTTTTGAGTATATGTGTTTTATTTTGGTCTCTCCTTTTCATGTTAGAGGCTTTCCTCATATATCCTGGAATTCTTGGTTGTCTGCTCTTATTTAAGAGCAGTGGAATAAAAAGCCAATTAGAAGCTCTGAGTGTATAGGTGGAGCTTGTTGACTGTGAGATTACTAGAATCTGCTTCTTGGCAATTATTTTAGATTTATATTTATCCAGTATTTTGGGAACGAATAACTAGATTTAAATCTTATAGTAAAATAAATGCCAATTGGATTAAAGAGTCGAATGTAAAATTTAAATTTAGAAAAATGAGGGGAAAATGCTGTTGGTTGTTTGTCACACTAGTAAAGAAATCTATTTTAAATTTGAGATCTAAAGATATAAAATAAAAAAATGAAAAAAAAATTGGTGGCTTCAGAGAGTAATCATTAGTTATGTATTTAATGTCTTTGAATGTATAATACTCACCCTTTTAGACTTGTGCAAATTGATAGGTCCCAAGAGAGGCATTTTGTATTGCTGTGTTCAGAGCTGGGAGACAAAAGCCATTCCTAAGGAATACTTTGTTAGTGTTAGACTCGTAAAGCTAGGTTACTGATCTCCTGAGATGGTAACCTTGATCGGAGCCATTGTATAGGCATTATTGAGCAGACAAGGAGGCAGCTAGTGAAACAGGAGAAAGAGGGAAAGGCGTTGCTTGCCTGAGGGAATTCTAAATTCAGGTGCAGGTGGCAATAATGGTAATCTTTTTAGCATTCTCACACCTAGCTGTTTGGGCCTGCCAGTTGTGGGTAATGTGGCCACACTGAGTAGATATTACTACCAATAGAAAACCTGCAGATTCTTTCCCAGTTGCCGTTAATAATGGTGAATACTGTCCCAAGAATGGAAGAAATACTTGTCCCTTTCCAGTAATTTCAGGAACAGCCAGACTAGAGTATACCTTGTCCCTAACTTAGAAACTTGCAGGCATGCCCACATCAGAGGGTGTGGTTGTGACACAATAAAGTGACAATTTGGTCAGGGCATGCCCCGGCAACCTGTGTAGTGATATTATTTACAGGCTTGTTAAACCATTGGAGATCTTTGTTAATAATAAAAGGGAAGGTGATGGAAACATCGTAAGAAATTGATTCTAAGACATCTTTCCAGGTCTTTAGTATCCACTGAATTTGAATGTGAGTGATAGTTTTACTCATATCTGGTCCTGAGATGACAAATAGATTTTTAATTCACTGCCAACTTTGATTAATTGTTAGTGGCTGCCTGGAGCAGTTTTAAGAAAGATTCTGAGGCAACATCTGGGCTTAGATGGAAAGATAGGTCAAAAAGGTTGTTGATACCTGCCATGGAATGGGAAGGGGGAGAGGCAGTGTATCAGGCTAGTTCATCCCCTTCCTTTTACCTCTATTTGCTGATGTGTATTTTTGGCTCCCTTGTTACTTAGAATGAAGTAGAGGTAAGTAGAAGCTCTACAGTGTAGGAGCTTTGCACATTCAGCATCTTTTTAGCTCATTGCTAGGCTCAGTGAATCAAAGAATGAATGAACTGAGACCAGAGTGTGTAAAATATCTAGATTTCCATAGTGAGAGCAGGGAAGGGATTAGGCACCAGCTCTTCCACACAGTGATGTAACTCTCCTGCATGACATAGTGCTTGGTGTTTGCAGAATACCAAAAGAATATAGTTCCCATCTCTACCCCCAAGGAGCTTGTATTCTGGTTGGGAAGAAAAGACAAACATGTTTGAAATGATTAGAGCTCTGTATGGCAGAATGGTTTGTGAGAAAGTGCTAAAATTTCTAGCCTGGTTGCTGAAATGAGTGGCATAGGTTTGAATGCAAAAGTACATTGCTTTGGAATCTCAACCTTCACACTCATTCCAGTGTATCTGTGTTTTGCTTGGGAAAGCCTCTTTTTCTACAAGGTAAGATTACCACCCCTTTACCCCCCTACTCCCCAACCCCCCTCCAGTTTTCCTCTCATTTTTGGTGTCACTAGGATGGAATATTTTGACTGGTTAAGGAGTTTTGCTTCAATTTAAATGTCAAGGTGAAAATGATCCATTAGTAGAAAATAAATGTCATGCAGATTTTTTTAAGCTGAAGATTATCCAGTCACAACGTTTGTTTCTAGAGAAATTATTTATAGCATTTTGAATTGTGTAAGGCATAGAAAATCCTCTGTATTGTAATATCAGTGCGTTTTGAAAATCTTTATCCTGAGTAATCGACAGTCTGTGCTTAGACAGAAATAGCAGAAATATACGCTTTTCATAATGTATACATTTTGTGTAGAGCAGTTAGGTTAATGCAATGCAATGCAGTCAGTCAGTTTAATATAATGTCTAAGAGCATCCGCTCTGGATTCTCACTTTCATGGCGGGCATCTCTACCCTCACCAACTGTGTTATCTTAAGTAAATTATGGGTTCTTGATTTCCTCATCTATGAAATGGGGATGATAATAATTCCTTTATAACACTGTTATAAGGATTAAATGAGATCTTTCAGATAGAGCCCTTAAGTTAGTGCTTGGTCAATAGTAAATGCTTTATTATTGTTGGTTATTGTTAATGTTATTAATATAGTTACTGTTTTTATTAGATTAATTTGTATCATTGATTTTTTTTTTGGAGTGTGACTCAACTTCATGTTAGTGTTTTAATATAATTGACTGTAAACAGTGATGGTTTCTTGTGTGTGTGTGTATATATATATATATATATATATATTTTTTTTTTTTTTTATACAGGTTGAATGTAATTTTTACAAAATTTGATGAAGTCCAAAAATCTGGAAACATGATACAATCTGCAAATGGTGAGTAGAAAAAGCAATCATTCTGTTTTTGCTTTTTCGGTTTTATGTCAGTAATGCTTATACTCTCTCTGAACAGCTGAATTTGATATCTTGAAAAGAGTTTCTAGGTGTTAAGATTTAACCTTCATTTATCTACCTTCTCAGGCCAGAAGCTATGGAGTTATCATTGGCTTTCTTTCATAACCTACATTGAATCCATTAATCTTGTTGGCTTTAGTTTTAAAAATACATCTAGAATCTTGATTCCCATTGTAACTGCTGCTTTTCCCCTAGTGCAAGCCATCATGGTAATTTACTTTGCTCTCGTGGTAGCCTCCCACCAATACCGTTGCTTTTACTCTCTCCCAGCACCCAAAGTCTATTTTTCACACAGCAATCAGAGTAATCATTTTAGAATGTAACTCGGTTCAGAATCCTCCAAAGGTTTCTCATCACACAGAGACTGCAATTCAGTGGCTTACCCTGGCCCACCAGGCACTGCATGATCTGATGCTGACCACCATTCTGATGACATCTTGTATTGTTCTTCCCAGAAGTTCTCTTGGCTCCAGTCCCATTGTCGTCCTTGCTAATTTTGGACATTCTAAGCTTCTCCTGCTTCAGGGCATCTGTACTTATGATTCCTTTTGCTTGAAACATTTGTCCCCTGGGTGTCATTATGGCCCTCTTCCTCATTCCATCCAGATCTCTGCTGCAGTATCGCTTCATTACAAAGGCCATCCAGAATAGCACATCCAGTCTTCTAAGGGAACTCTCTGTGCCCTCATCCTGCTTGATTTTCCTTCTTAGTGCATATCACTATAAAATATTTTTTTGTTTATTCATGAGGGCAAGAACTTTATTTTGTTCCATTCCTTATCCTTAGTGCTTCAAAAAGTTCTTGGCATGTGGTAGGTACACAATAAATGTTGTTGAATGAATAAAGAAAATAATAACTGAGACTTGCATTGTGACCTGTTGTTTCCAGTACGTGTATATTCCTTTTCTGATACTTTGTGATGATATTTGAGGACAAGTGGGTAATTCTTGTGATTCCAGAAGGGAAAGAAAAGACAAGAGTGAATTACTGTATGAATGAAGTCATCAAAAAATCAATTGCCAACAAGAACTTTTTCTAACTCTGGATACCTTGTTGCATCATAGCGATTTCAAAATTGCCAGGGATCTTAGATCATAGCATAGCTTTCACATTTTCAATATCTTGAGACTGTAAAAAAGTTTTAGTGATTTCCCCCAAAGTGACATAGTACGTAAAGGCAGAGCAGGAACAGAATCCAGGTCTTTTGACTCACTCTGCTGTGTACCTGCCATTGTTGGTAAGGAATTTGTCTTTAGATAGCATGTTTCGTATAAAATGCTTGAAGCATTCTGAAAATGCTTTCATTAATCCCCCTGATTTCTTTTTCATATGTTTGTAAAAACGTAACAATATTAAAAGAAAAAAAGAATAATATTTACCACAATTCTGTTGTCACCAACAAATCAGTTTTCATTTTTCCATATTGTCTTATAATTCATTTTCCTATAGCTGTATAATTTGCATATAATCTTAACCATGGCATGGTTTTTGTACATTACTCCCTACCGTTGTACATACTTTATTTATATATGCTTTAAAAAATGTATCTGGTAGAGCTGGGACCAGAACTCGGGCCTTGTAGTCATGCTGCAGTGATGAGTGGGGTTGACGGTGTGCATGGGCAGGGCCGCCCAGCCAGTTGCTAGACCATGCTTTTAATTGTGTGTGTGTGTATTTGTGTAGTTTCACAGTTTAAAACTTGTTGGCACCAAGGTAGAAAGTACTGGGCAAGGAGGTAGTAGTGGTGGCAGAAAAGTGAGTTTGTGCTTCATAACCTGTATTATAACCATGAGATGGAATCTGATTATAGTGCTGGCATTGGGGAGAAGGACCACATCCATGTTGGAGGCCTTGCCTAGAAGAGTGTGTATATACTCTGAGTTTTAATGAACATGATACGTATGATTTAATCATCAAGAATACCAAAATCCTGTGGCATTGGGTGCATCAGCAACATTTTATTCTCGATGTCCAGGTGTAAATATTGTTCCCAAATTTCGTTATTTTTGCGGGATATTTGTGTGTGTGTGTCCGTGTATGTATGTATACGTGGTATAGGGGTAGGGTTGAGAATGAGAACAGTTCTTGTAGGCATCTATGTTAAAAATAGCAGATGATAAGGAAGCCTAACTCAAAACTTACTGGAGGGCTATAATTGCAGCTTTTTTAGTGTATATATGTAGTATTACTATTTTAATTGTTAGAGTCAAAATAGAATAATCTAAAGGCATATGTATAAAGATTTTAGAATTCCTAAGCCAAATAAGTTTGGTCTCCTTACAGTAACTTTGAGATACCAGTAAGATGTTTAATAGCTGTCAAAAAAACAAAGCACCTAATTTCTTGCTTTGGTAGAGTCATTGAACATTTAGATAGTATAGGGAAACCACAGTAGCAATGGAATAAAACCAATCCCCCTCTTCTAATTTTTTTTTGCCCAATGACTCCCAGTGTAATCATTTTTTGAACTCTTCTGGACTTTAGACCAGACCAGACCATTGACTGCTCTACTTTTTTTCAACCCATCCCCCTCTGCTTTCTCCACTTTGCTCCTTAGCTTAGATTGTGACCTTTCTGCACTTTCTTGTTAGTTCTAGGAGTTTTTGTCGATTCCCTGGAATTTTCTGCACCGATAATCATATCATCTGCAAATAGGAACAGTTTTATCTCTTTCAGATCTGTACACTTTTTATTTTTTTTTCTTGCCTTTTTGCACTGGCTAGAACTTCTGCCAGTGTGTAAGAGTGATGAGAGTGGACATTCTTGCCTGGTTCTCAATCTTAGGTCTTTCACGACTAAGTATGATATTAACTGTAGGGTTTTTGTAGATGTTCTTTAGCAAGATGTGGTAGTTCTCAACTATTCCTATTTATTTGAGTGATCACAAATGGATGTTGGGTTTTGTTTTTTGAAATCATCAGCATATTTTAAATATTGAGATATAATTCATACTAAAAATTAACTTTTTAAAAGTGTATAATCCAGTGGTTTTTCATATATTCACAAATTGTGCAATTATCACCACTATTTAATTCCAGGATATTTTCATTACCCCCAAGAAAACCTGTGCCCATTAGCACTTCCTATTTCCTTTTCTTCCCAATCCCTCACAGCCTACTTTCTACAGATTTGCCTATTGTGGACATTTTATATAAGTGGAATTATACCATGTATGGCTTTTTGTGTATGGCTTCTTTCACTTAGCATAATGTTTTCAAGGTTCATCCCTTTGGTAGCATGTATCAGTACTTCATTCCTTTTTATGGCTGAATAATATTTCATTGTATAGCTATACCACATTTTGTTTATCCACTCATCATTTGATGGACATTTGGGTTGTTTCCGCTTTTTGACTGTTGTGAAGAATGCTGCTGTGAATATTTGTGTAAAGCTTTTATGTGAACTTATGTTTTCATTTTTCATGTATATATTCCTTGCAGTGAAATTGCTGGGTCATATGGTAACTCTATGTTTAACGTTTTGTTTAACTGCCACACTATTTTCCAAAGTGGCTGCACCGTTTTACATTCTCATCAGCAATGTATGAGAGTTACACTTTATTCACATCCAAGTCAATGCTTGTTATTGTCTGTCTCTGATGATAGTCATCCTAGTGGGCGTGAAGTGGTGCCTCGTGGTTTTGATTTGCATTTCCCTAATGACTAATGATATTGAGCATCTTTTCGTGTGCTTACTGGCCATTTGTATACCTTTTTTGGAGAAATGTCTGTTCAAGTTATCTGCCGTTTTTCTAATGGAGTTAATTGTCTATTGTTGTCATGAGTTTTTTATATATTATGGATTAAAAATCCCTTATTAGATAGATATGATTTGCAAATATTTTCTCCTTTTCTTTAGGTTTTCATATCACTTTCCTGATGGTATTGTTTGCAGCAGAAAAGTTTTTAATTTTGATGTAGTATAATCTGTCTTTTTTTCTTTTATTGTTTGTGCTTTTAGTCTAAGAAAACCTAAGATATAGGTTGATATCTAAGAAATCATTGCCTAATCCATGGTTACGAAAATTTACACCTATATTTTCTTCTAAGAGTTGTATAGCTTTAGGTCTTATATTTAGGTCTTTGATCCATTTGAGTTAATTTTTATATATGCAGTGAGGTAGATATCCAACTTCATTGTTCTTTGTGTGAATAGCCAGTTGGCCCAGCACCATTTGTTGGAAAGTCTGTTCTTTCCTCCATTAGACTTTCTTGGCACCCATCTCAAACATCAGTTTACCATAAATGTGTGGATTTATTTCTGGACTCTAAATTCTACCCTATTGCTCTATATGTTTAGTCTTATGCCAATACTACACAGTCTTGATTACTTGAGCTTTGTAGTATGATTTGACATTTGGAAGTTTTTTTTTTAGTTTTGTTCTTCTTTTCAAGATTGTTTTGGCTATTCTTGGTTCCTTGCATTTCCATGTGAATTATAAGATCAGCTAATGTCAATTTCTACGAAAAAGGCACCTGCAATTTTGATAGGGATTGTGTTGAATCCGTTGATAAGTTTGAGGAGTTTTGCCATGTTAATAATAATAAGTCTTCTAATGCATTAACATAGGATACCTTTCAATTTATTTAGGTCTTTAATTTCTTTCAACGATATTTTGTAGTTTTCAGTGTACAAGTCTTGCACCAGTTTTGTTAAATTCATTCCTCAGTATTTTATTCCTTTTCATGGTTTTGTAAATGGAATTGTTTTCTTGCATTTACTTTTGAATTCTTTATTGCTAGTGTATAGAATGACAATTGAATTTTGTATTCAATCTTGTATCTGCAACCTTGCTGAACCTGTTTATTAGCTCTAATATTTTTTTTCGCCAGTGGATTCCTTAGGGTTTTCTATATATGAGAGATCATTTAATCTGTGAACAGATACTGTCTTACTTCTACCTTTCCAATCTGGATGCCTT